TGCAATGTTTTCTGAAATGGAAATGCTTACAGCCTGCTTAGTGGTTAATGCGCCTCCTGGAGAGGGTACTTGTCAGAAGCTAGGCTTTCTGTGTTGTCTTTCCAGGGTCACTCCTCAGGCTGATTATTACAGGGCCTTCCTGTAGCCGGGGTCACTCCTCAGGCTGATTATTACAGGGCCTTCCTGTAGCCCGGGTCACCCCTCAGGCTGATTATTACAGGGCCTTCCTGCAGCCGGGGTCTCTCCTCAGGCTGATTATTACAGGGCCTTCCTGTAGCCGGGGTCACTCCTCAGGCTGATTATTACAGGGTCTTCCTGTAGCCGGGGTCACCCCTCAGGCTGATTATTACAGGGCCTTCCTGTAGCCGGGGTCACCCCTCATGCTGATTATTGCAGGGCCTTCCTGCAGCCGGGGTCACTCCTCAGGCTGATTATTGCAGGGCCTTCCTGTAGCCGGGGTCACCCCTCAGGCTGATTATTACAGGACCTTCCTGTAGCTGGGGTCACGCTGTGATGATCCATTCATTCTGCATTTGGAAGGCCATCCACCTGGGCCAGAATTTATTCCGCCCAAACTGTTATCAGGCTGTAAGCTCACTCTGCTTGCCCTGCCTTCTGTATGATTTTTAGCACGTTTGCATGCACCTCCATTGTAGGTAATTGACTTTACTGGATGCAGTCACACAACTGTTTGACACCAGTACCTGGGTTATGGGTACACAGCATGGCTAGTGTGAGTGTTCACAGGCTGGGTGTGAGATCCGAACAGCTAATTACTAACCTAATATATTACCAGTATGTCATGAGTGTTTTAAAATTAATTTATTCTGGGCAATTCAAGAAGGCAAATGTGTGAGCAACAACGTAGTGACATATATATATATATAAGATCTCTGACAAAGGCCACAGTCTTGTCATTCATCTAGGGCCCCTGGCTAACTTACAAGGGGGTGGACAGCTGTGGAAATAGCTAGTGTGATTCCCAACCCCACCCATGAATAGAGATCCACCAGGCCCTGCCTGTCTGTGTAATGACATTTAAGAGTATCTACTGTATCTTGATTGTCATTACTGTCGGAATACTATCTGCCATGAGCTCTAATTAACCCTGCTGATAATTAGCAGGGGCAGCTCGTATAGGGGGTAATGTGCAGGATTAAGGCCTTAAGGGATTCTGGATGGGTTTCAAAGATGAACGTTCCTCCTCTGCCGGCCTATTCACCTGTCCCACTCCCGAAAGCACAAGGGCTGCGTCGATTCAAAGGGCAAACGGCGATTCACTTCAATAATGCAGTGGCAGAAGACCATTGGCTTGAGGGGGCTCGCTACTGCCCCCTGATGGTACCTGTTGGTGAATGCACCCTGTGGGAAGTGCCTTCCTATCACATGCAATGAAGCAGAGCAGGAAAAGTCAGCTCTGTGTGTGCAAACCTTTGAAAATGATAAACGATGCTGTTCAGCAGGAGAGATTGATTCGGTGTAAATGAAACTAATTAAGGAAATGTCAAGCATAATTAATAAAATGGGTTTAAACTGTGAAAACATTGTCAGCTGAATGGATGGGGGCCCTGGCTTCCTTTGTTTCGACGTTATTTTGGGCTCGTGTTTCTCTTGTTCTCTGCCGCTGAAACACATTCTCCCCGCCTTATAGCCTCTCCCACCAATTTCCCAAGAGTCGCGGAATAAATTTGCTTGTCTATCCGCTGACGGCAGGAATTAATTGCCAAAACCTCGTCCCGTCCAAGTGTAACATTCGCTCGCAGGACATTAACATAACTAATTTCGAGGAGCCCAAATGACTTTGTAATAGACCCCTGTAAGCTCACATGATAGTCATTGGTCATTGCAAATTAGTCTGCTTTTATAATTAAAAAAATTAATAAATAATGCCCCCCCCACCCACTTTCTCCGCTTTCTCTCGCCATTGCAAAAAACACTGCTATGATTTAAAAAATGAATAAGTAAATGGATAGAAGGACATCTCTCCTTTAATTATGGCTGTTTGACCTCTAATTATAGTGAGGAAAGAAAGGGGTGATGAAGGGAAAGAGTTGATACAAAGATTAGCAGTAACAGTGGGTACCCCACCCCCCCCCCCCCCCCCCCCCCCCGGGAGTGTGAAGGCGAATGGAATCTTCCATATCACTGGGTCACTTGTAAGTGAGAATTTGCAATAAATGAATGATACAATATAGACAGCTCACTTAGATACTCCCATCTCAGTCCCTGAGTTGTTCTGCATTTACACCCCTTTGTCTCGTAGTGGAATCTACTTTAAGACCTTTCGACTTGAAAGCTGCCCCTTTCGGAGTTTTATTGCACTGCGATATAAACCGCGTTAGTTATTTAATTATCGCCGCCTACTAAGAACATTGTAGTATGCTAAAAAACGCCCAAATCTGCTATCATCTGTCATGTTGTTATCTTCATTAAGCGATACCTGTGAGTCAGTTAGACCTGCGCATTCGTACCAATTTCCCACACAGTGCGTAAGTATTTTTTTTAAATGTAATAGTAATTTTGTAAAATAGAGGACACAGTAGTTCTCGCCCCTAATAACGAAGACTTCTTAAAAATTAATGTTCTATGATATTCTTCCATTAAATTGTATGCATATATAATTATATATGGATTTAGCATTATTAGAGTTTGGGGTATGTTATTTTAAATCTTTCAAGTGAAATCTATCAAACCAGCACCTTCCTCCTGTCCCCGAATCCACTGCAGTGGTTCTAGAATTCAGATGTGATTTTCTTTGCCGTCCCCAGGAATCCCAGGACATCGGACTGGGGACACAGAGGAAGGGATATATGTCCATTGCCAATATAACACAGTGCAAACCGTGAGTCTTTAAGAAGCTACATTTTGGCTTCATATATACACTTAATATCGCTATTTAAATGATCATGTCAGACATGAACAAATTGAACAGAAACTCTAACCAGCCTCAATGGCCAAGTCTTAGTAAGTCGTCTCTGTGAATGAGATCTCAAAGCTCTGCCCTTCTTATTTTTGACATTGTTCTAAACATCCCTGATGTTTCTTCTCTGTGGGTCTATCAGAGATGTTAGGCATGCTGTCTAAAGTGATGACCTGAGAGCAACTACACTTTCTGAGAAACTAACAACCCAGCATTAATTAAATTAATTTAGAAGGCGTATTGAGAAGCCCGTATGGTGCAGAGACAGCACCCTGCGTACCGTGTTTTACCCTAAATACTATCGACTGAGACTCATTCAGTTATAGTAGATGATAATAACACAGCGGTTTGATAAATTTCTTTTCTTGTGTTTGCTCTTCGTTTCAAATCAAGTAAAAAGCTACAATATTCTTCTTTGTTAGATTATTTGTTTTCTTTATATGTTTAGAGGTTTTAAAATGATTTGTTATATTTAGTATTCATGGGTTCTTTATTTTGTCTGTTTGATGATTTTCGTGTCTCCAAAAATCTGAAGCTACTCCCGCTCAGATTTTCTCTGGCATATTCCAATAAATACTGATTAAAGATCTGAAGAGCACTAAGCAGAATCTTGAGTTATATAAATCTCACTAACAGTACGCTTCCAAAGATGTGACTTTATTGCTGTTCTGACAATTAAGCCATTCTATACCTTTTACTAATTAAGCTAATTGCTGTTCGTGTTAGGTCCTTTCAAATGGTCTTCAAAATGTGATAGCAATAATTTTAATGACATAATATTAAATGAGTTACTAATGATTTAAAATACAATAACCCTTAATACCAAGCTAACATTCCAGCCTCGGCTGATCTTATACATTTGCTATAAATTTTTACGTCCTTTCAGGATGTCCTGGCCATTGAACAGGAGAAAGGTAAAGAATTAGTGAAGCAGTGGTTTATTTTATAAAGCATTTTCCTATTTACAGTGGTTTTTAATGCTGTTTAAATCTTTGAATATTTTTTTCTTTTATCCTATCTGGATAGTTCTTGGAATGACTGCCATCAGTATCGATGTACTTGTTTTAATCAGTTTTTCGAGCAACGTGTCAGTACAGATGCCGTTATTCTGACTCCCCATGTGTTTGATTAGCCCCCACATGTATGCAGTAAGCACGTCTGCGACTTACACCAATGCCATCGCATATTTAGTTTAACGTATCAATTAACACTTTTTAAATGCAGTTCAGATCCCTGGGTTGTAGAATTTGATGTTCATCTCTTCATTTTTCTGTTTGTAGATTTTCCTGTCAATTTAAATTAAAAAAAAAAAATTAACATCAGTGTATTATTTTAATATTTTGACCATTCTGAATGTTATCAGTAGATATGACTTCTCTCAGATTTTCATTTACTCATTTTTGTAGAGAAAGTTAGTTTTTTACCCCTTTATAGTGGACATTTCAGGTTTTATGACCTTGCTCAAGGGTACAACTGCTCTCTCCTGGTTTCCATTGTCACAGGGAGTTAAAATTGGGGATTTTTTTTGGAACTTCAAAATAGTGCAAGAGTAATCCATAGAGATCGTTTCTATTCTAATATAGATCTTATTGGTGATTCAAATGATGAGTATTACAGTTAGGCTTGACTCCTCTGTTACATCTGTGAAACACCATAGCTAAACGGCCGTTTACATCCTTGGTTTCCATATTATACTGTACAGCCGTCTTCAAGTCAGTCACGTTATTATAATTCTCTCCCTCACTTTCACGCACACACACACACACACACACGTTGGTGTATCTATATAAATGGGGACCTTCATTATACGGGTAAAACCCCAGTATAATGTAAAGTCCCAATCATGACACCCTTAACCCCTACCCATCCCTAACCTTAACCAAATGTAATCAAACAAAATACAAGAATTTTGGCATTTTCAGTTTTTTGGATTGCAGCCACTGATTTTTATAGAACTGAGGATTATATTGTGGGCACTGTAAAAATGTCCCCATGAGCACAAAAATAACTGGTTTTACCAGCCGGTAAATACAAACCCACAGACACAGTGACAGATTACTTTTTCAAGTTAAACAAATACCCAACATTTAAACCGCTAAAACCATGGGAACAACTTTAACTTAAAAAAGTTTGTCTGCAAAACAAATAATGCAGGTTATCGGTGCGATTCTCCTCTACTTTGAAATAATTGGATTGCATTTATCTAGACATTTGTAGCTGAAAATATAATCATTATCTGAAAAAGAAACCTGGGTTCTATAACATATTAAACTTACTGAATTAACTGTCTATTATTCAGTTTAGCTCATGTATAAATGTCTGCATGAATATTGTACAAAACATGTATGTGGATTTGTTTTATAACAGCATTTTGGAAAGTGCAATGGTATTTTAAAGTCTGTCACATGAGTAATACAACAAGTTACGTGTGACTGACTGTGATTCAGACATGGGTCAACACTTGGCCTCGTTTTCGGCGAACAAGTTCCCGTTAAGCGCGTCTGCGGTGGTGGTGTACGGCGCAAGGATGGGCCGACATGAAACGCCCTGGCTGCTCTAGTGTGCCGCTCGCGAAAACTGGAACCCACGGCTTTGACCCAGCTCAGGGAACGAGCACCGAAAAAGATCTGAGCGTGAGTCCGAGTTCTACACACCCACTCGAGAAGCCAAAGGTCTGCACAGCTTCTCCCGATTCTGAGATGTTCCCTGTCTTGCAGACCACGCGCACGTCTTCATCTAAACGAGAAAAGTTGTTCTTTTTTTCTTACAGACTGTGGTGACCTTTTGGTGTCTTATTGTCTCCACAGCATGACTGCAATCAATAGATGCTCGCAATCGGCACCCAAACTGAGACCTTTCCAATAAATCTGCTTGTTATTGTGAAGCCAGTGAATAAACAAAGAGTTTTCTTTTTGTTCACATGGAGTTTCCATCGCAGTTATGAAACGGAGGTGAAATGTTGTCTGAGGCAGTAAATGACGAACAGGAATCCAAGCTGGATATGAAGTTGTTAACTTTCGGTCATCCTGCACTAGGAAGCATTAACCCTTTCAGACTTTCTCCAGTAAAGAATTAAAAAAGCCATAGTTATTGGTAAAAAGTTATTGGGTTCCTAACCCAGTTACACCAAGCATTTTAACTTCTGAACCTAAACGAGATGAATTACAGAAACGACAATATTCACAAATTGCCTAATTGCTACTCTATGATGGATAAACAGTTTTGGAAAATGGATGGAAACGTTGCTTAGGATCAGTATTTTACTTTCCCAAATATATTTGTACTGTGCTACTTTTTATTTTTGTATTGGTTATATTGACTCATTATACTTGTTACTCTGAAATGAAAATTAGAGTGGCACAGCATGGACATATATTGCATGAATAAAGTTATCGACATTTATCCCTGTCTGACCAGGTGCCGACTCTTATTTCTGTAAATGAAATGAAAGGAAAATTTAAGAATTAACGTACCGGCCCCCGTTTTTGTGAGCCCAGTTTGCTGAGACTCAGCCGAGACGCTTTCCCTGTCTGATCTGCAGCGGTAGGTGTTGGGATCCCTGCCCAATACGGTGCAGAGTGCTGTGTACTGTACGCGGCCCCTGTCTACCTGCGAAGGGCCGCGGGGAGACCCGCCTCAGCACCTGCTTCCGCTGGGTGACCTGCGCCCCAGTCCCAACAACGTGCCATTTGTTCAGCTCACATGGGGATGGGGGTCCTGTCCTGTGGCAGGGCGTATGCGGACCAATCAGACCTCAGCTCCGGTGACCGTGAAGGAGCTGAATGTGACCGGCCTGGAAGCGCGGGGCAGGGGGGGTTTGGGTATCCCCTTTCCCTTGTGTCGGAAAGCCAGCAACGGAATGGGATTTTTCTTCTCAGGACCCCGAGCAATCCCCCCGACGTTGCCCCCCAGCCGCTGCACACGACGCGGTGTTGCATTGCGCCCACCGTTCCTGCCTCATGCGGTCAGGGAGATTTCCGGAACGCGATCCCCGCTGGCGGTTCCGATAAGGCGTTCTGGGCCAGTGACCCAGCTCACACCTGCAAGGCCTTTAAGCTACATGTGGCTTCGGGACACAAGGAGAATCTTCGCCTTGTATCTGATAAAAAAAATAAAAAAAGCGAGGATTATTTAAAACTCAAAGCAGGGAAAATTAATTATAATATTCAGATTTACAATTTAAATTCCAGAATACCCGTATATATATCATAAGGGGGGGAGAAAATATTGTCCTTTTCCTGTTTAATCATCTGAACATATGCAGTACATATTTAATAATTCCAGGAAAAAAATACCTGCATCTCGAGATTAATTATAGCTACCAGCGGCCTGCGTTGCCATTGTTGTTGTTGCATGAGCCGGGAACGCGTTCCGCATAAATGGGACGCGCTCACGTCCTCGTCCACCACGGGGGGAAACAGGAAAAAACGCCGGCTGGTTCCGGCCCGGTGAGCACACTTGTTTGAATGTCATATTTATCCCCACGTTTTGTCAGAAAATTAACTTTCCCCAGAGTTTGCCGCCGCGCTGAGCACATGACGGGCGGCTCTCTGGAGATGACAGCCTATCGGAGCGAGAGCCCGCTGTTCCAACGCCTCCCCCCCCCCCCACTGGCAGATGCTCCGGGCTTTTCTGTGATTAAGTGGAGATCATCGCTGTTTTTCTTTGAGTACTGTTGCGGTCTTGTACTCCGGCGTATCCTGTCAATCGCCGCCTGCTTTTGGCGGGGCTTTTGCCAAAGCATTCATTAAGCTGGAACTCAGAATTCTCAGATGGCGCTTAAACTAAAGGGTGTTTATGCCTCTCCTGCCCAAGACGGATTTCTTTGTGTCTGCGTCTGCACACTGGCAATGAACCAGGGATAGAGGGTTTCATATTCACAATATAGATAGATAGTTAGATAGATAGGTGTATGGATGGAT